TATAATGTAATTGTTGTCCAACTTGTCCTTATACCAGTCTCACAATTTATAGACTGTCTCATGGTCTTTCAACCGTATTATGTAACCCTAAATAAAGTCTCGATTTTCCATAGGTTCACGTCCTTGAAAACTCTCATCTCACCGGAGCTCCTTTTCAATATAAATAAAGTTGCTTGTTTCTATCCAAATTATATATTTTCAGAAAGTAAATGTTTGTCTAGGAAACAAATAGAGCAACCACCAGCAATCGTCGATGTAAAGGGAGGAGAATAGCTGTGTGCCTGAGACATTGTCAGTGGAGCGTTAAATGTAATCCAAGTCACTAAAGTATAACCTCAATTACTGAAACATGTGAATTAAATATAGGTTAGGTGAGGTGAAATGGGGTTTAACGTCGCGTCCAAGATGATTGCACTTATATAGCGACGTGCATGTACGTGTGTGTGTTTGGTGGCTGCTTGTACTAGTCCGGGCTGATGCCGATTTATAGTGCTAGCTCACTGAGATACCATGCCGCAGTTTAACATGAATATCCCACTCAGACACAGTATACTGACTCCGAGCCGACCAATCCTTGTTTTAGCCCCTTAATACCGAGCGCCAGACAGGGTAACAACAAGTACCCTCATTTAACGATTTTGGTATGACGCGGCCGGGGATCGAACCCCGGACCTTCCGCTGTCCGGGCGGACGCTCTACCACTAGACCACGGAGGCGGTCGAGTTAAACATAACCCCAGTCACTAAGATATGGGAGTTAAATATAACCCCAGTCACTAAAACAAGGGAGTTAAATATAACCCCAGTCACTAAAATATGGGAGTTAAATATAACCCCAGTCACCGAAATGTGGGATTCAACTATAACCCTTGTCACTAAAACAAGGGAGTTAGTTATAACCCCAGTCACTTAAACAAGGGAGTTAAATATAACCCCAGTCACTAAAACAAGGCAGTTAAATATAACCCCAGTCACTTAAACAAGGGATTTAAATATAACCCCAGTCACTAAAACAAGGGTCTTAAATATAACCCCGGTCACTAAAACAAGGGAGTTAAATTTAACCCCAGTCACTGAAATGTGGGATTCAAATATAACCACAGTCACTAAAACAAGGGAGTTAGTTATAACCCCAGTCACTTAAACAAGGGAGTTAAATATAACCCCAGTCACTAAAACAAGGGAGTTAAATATAACCCCAGTCACTAAAACAAGGGAGTTAAACATAACCCAAGTCACTAAAACAAGGGAGTTAAATATAACCCCAGTCACTAAAACAAGGCAGTTAAATATAACCCCAGTCACTAAAACAAGGGATTTAAATATAACCCCAGTCACTAAAACAAGGGTGTTAAATATAACCCCGGTCACTAAAACAAGGGAGTTAAATTTAACCCCAGTCACTGAAATGTGGGATTCAAATATAACCACAGTCACTAAAACAAGGGAGTAAGTTATAACCCCAGTCACTTAAACAAGGGAGTTAAATATAACCCCAGTCACTAAAACAAGGGAGTTAAATATAACCCCAGTCACTAAAACAAGGGAGTTAAACATAACCCAAGTCACTAAAACAAGGGAGTTAAATATAACCCCAGTCACTAAAACAAGGCAGTTAAATATAACCCCAGTCACTAAAACAAGGGATTTAAATATAACCCCAGTCACTAAAACAAGGGTGTTAAATATAACCCCAGTCACTAAAACAAGGGATTTAAATATAAACCCAGTCTATAAAGCAAGGCAGTTAAATATAACCCCAGTCTATAAAATATGCGAATTACGACAGTTGTAGCGGTATGATCGATTTATGAAATGAGACCCAGACTAAATAGATTTTAATCCTTGGATTCTTGATGCCCTATGAACTGTACTGTATTAAAAAGACATAACATCATTCCATTTCCAAAGCGATTACCATAATGCTGGAAGACACACAACTAGACTTGCCGCTCTGTATCCTCTAGACTTACTAGACTGGAATACACAAATGCAGACATACAACAGGCAAGGTAACGTTCCAAGGCCTCAGTCTGCCCTGGAGTGAATCCCGTCTGTATAAGAGTTAGTATTCCTGGGATCTATTCTATCCCTGCTATTAAGACAACCTTGGAATGAAATGTGTATAACTACATGTACACATCAACAGCGTAAGCGACCTTTCTAAAGGCCAGATAGCATGCCTACTTTATTTGGAATCCAGCAGTCGCCATTTTAGAAAGCTACGAGCAAGATGCGCACATGAATCAGTGTCACGGCCCCCCTAGCTGCCAGGTGTTCTCCAACTCGCCCTGCCCCCACGGCTACCCGCCACGTGCACAGCGGAAGGGGTGGCAGCGTTAATACCAGACATTCTACACACATGTGACCTTTAACACCCGAATCATCGTAAGTGGAGTATGCTAAACACAACGAAAGTTACAGAGCTCGGCGGGGAAATTTAGTATGTTTGCGATCAGGTAAGGTCGTGGATCTCACGTTCTCGGAATCGACCTATATACTGATGAAGTAAGGTTTGGTGTCGGGAGATTACTACGGTGGTTGGATAGACAGGATGGAGAAATTAAACGATGTCACGCTAGCCCATCAGATTAGACAGATATTGATGACGTCTTGCTCATTCCACCTAGGTTTCAAGTCCGTGAGCATTGAACTTAACCTTTCTGAGCGATTATTGCGGGCGAAATATCCGCGTATGGTGTCTTTAGGCGACTATGGGAATCTACGTGTAGTTACAGAAACGTATGTGAGTTTCATTTAACGCTGAGACCGCCTCCGTGGTCTAGTGGTAGAGCGTCCACCCCGCCGCGTCATACCAAAAGACGTAAAAAGATAGTACTTGTTTTTACCCTGTCCGGCGTTCGGCTTTTTAGGAGCACAATCATGGACTGGTCTGCTCGGAGTGGCTGAGTTGGATATTCATGTTAAACTGCGGCATGGTATCTCGGTGGGCTAGCACTATCAGTGCCGTAGCCAGCCGGGGGGCAGGGAGGGCAGTTGCCCCCCTAGATTTTTTTTATAGAAAACAGTTTTATATAAATCAAGTTGGGGACAAGTGATACTTGTACAAATATTTGCCCCCCCCCCCCCCCCCCCCCCCCTTATAAAAAAAAGTTGACTACGGCCTTGACTATCTATAAAATCGCCATCAGTCCGGACTAGTACAAGCAGCCACACACACTCACACACACTCACACAGCCACACACACACACACACACACACAATGATATCAATGAAATAATATTCAAAGAGGCGCATTACTCACACATAACGGGTTACTCACACATAACGTTAGGTTTTATTCATTCATGCCATCTTTTCATCGAGAATCACCTCTAATCCAAACCAGATGGGGAGGTACGAACGCTGAACCAGTCCGTTCTAATATACCTTTGCCGTGGCGGCACGCTCACGTTAATCTGTTTTACACACTCGTGCGGGTCGTGCGCTCGCGGACACACGTCGCCGACTGCGATACGATCGCCAGGATACCGCAATGCACGTGCGCATTGCTTTGAATTACGCATACACGTGCTTACCGCAGCAGATTTTCGCTTTCAAAGATTAAAAAATGAAATTTTGAACAATCATTAATGAAACAGATACCTACTGAATGTGACACAACGTCACGAGAGCGGCATCCCTGACATATGTTTTACTGGTGAAAGAATACTACCGGTACAGCAACTGATTACGAGAACGTCGCGACGCGCTGTGACACGGGTAATTCCACTCCTAATTATGACATATCGGGGTGGTATTATGATATTGACGTGTGTAGAATGTGTGTTACTGGTGATACTTGTAATCACGACCTTTCAATGAGAGAATCGAGATCATATTCTGATAATGTTTGGGCAAGCTAAAATGTCAGTTGGTTTCTTGCATTGTTTGTGGGATTTCGGACAGGCGTGACTGATCGAACATTGTTTACCCCTTGTTATTATGATTGTTATAAGTTTATAGAACGTGCTCGTTGTGACACTATATCCTGTACAGATTCCGGGTGAGAAAACGTCCCAAGTCGGTGGGGTGAGGTGAGGTGAGGTGAGGTGAGGTGAAATGGGTTTTAACGTCGCGTCCAAGATTATTGCACTTATATAGCGACGTGGACGTGTGTGTGTGTCTGTGTGACTCCGAGCCGACCAGTCCTTGTTTTAGCACCCTTATGCCGAGCGCAAGGCAGGGTAACAACAAGTACCATATTGTAAAGTCTTTTGGTATGACGCGGACGGGGATCGAACTCTCGACCTTCCGCTCTCCGGGTGGACGCTCTACCACTGGACCACGAAGGCGGTCGGATGAGGTGAAATGGGATTTAACGTGCGCGGAGGTTTGTGTGTGGGCGAGTGTCTAGGTGTGCCTTTGTCTCGGGAAGATGTCGCATGCCGCTCTCGGCAATATTCCAGCTTTGGTCTGTAAATAATCAAGGCTGGACCAGACAATCCAGTGATTGACATAATGAGCATCGATCTACGCAATTGGGATAGGATGACATGAATCAACCTTACCACCCCATCCCGTTAGCCGCCTCTTACAACAAGCATTTGTTGCTGAAGAAAGGTTGGTTGGTTTGTTGTTTAACGCCGCACTAAGCAATATTCCAGCTATATGACGGCGGTCTGTAAATAATCGAGGCTGGCCCAGACAACCCAGTGATTGATATCATGAGCATCGATCCACGCAATGGGGATCGATGACATGTATCAACCAAGTCAGCGAGCCTGACCACCCGATCCCGTTAGTTGCCTTTTACGGCAAGCATGGGTTGCTGAAGACCTATTCTACCCCGGAATCTTGTTGCTGAAGACCAATTCTAACCCCGATGTTCCTGACTTACGCTACTTACTGTTATACTTCTTCTTCTTTTTGTCATAATACTCTGTGTAATATCAGTGACATATTTAGTGGATGTAGTTTATTTTCAACATAAGATAGCTACGCGATAAATCGCAAATAACAATGAAGAAGGAAGCATTGTTTATTTCTTGTAATTCGAACATGCGCTCGCAACTTGATGACGAGGTAATTTGGACGTTATTTTTTGTAGGGAAGTGTCCAGTGAGTTGTTCCCATAACTGGGCAATGCAATTGCCGAACGATCGCTTCCATGGAATTGACATGACAATCGTTACTGGGAGAAAAGGTACAGATAATCGACGTTGAAAATTGTGTGAAAATATGCGGGAAATACCAAATTTAACCCCACTGTTCATAAAATCGACTTGTCCGACATTTCCGCGGGCGGATTCTATCCAGGGAGTCATCATTATTTAAATACGGGTAAATATTTTTAAAGCGTGTACTTTTTACATGTTGATATCTTTATAAGAAATAATCGACTCGTGGTCGTTGTTTATCGCACAATAAAACACTGCAGGGAGAATAAACCATGAGGGGCTGCGCTGCAGTGTTTTATTGTACCCCTTATGTTTTATTCTCCCTGCAGTGTTTTATTGGACGATAAACAACTCCCACTCGTCGTTTATTTCTTAAATGCTGTGACCGAGTGACCTCTTCGGTTGTGTTTGCTTCACCCTGGACGGTCGGGGTATCGTGTTCTCGCACCAGCATCGCGGCCCATGTGTTGACGAGGATGAGGAAAGGTGAGAGGGGGTTCCGAGAAGGAGGATGTTGAAATTGGGATCACATCATCATCTGCCGGAGGAAAAAACAAAAGAGATCAAGTTATTAACAGGCTGAGACTATCTAAATAAAAGGGTAGAGGTAGAACTTACAAAAAAATAGGCGTCAGAGAAACGTAACCGAAACTGCCATGACTCAGTGAAGAAAAAACAACAATAGACGAGCGGTGAGGCCCAAGGGAGATAGGGGCAGTTTTACGGGATAAAAACTATTTGAATTGTAGGGCCTCTTGGGGCATTCCGGCCCCTATGATGTGGAGGCACATTGATTATCAGGAAATGGGAAACATGTTGCAATCGTGTTGTCGGCGAGAATAGTCTGAAGTCACTCGTTAAGTGCAAGGGACAAGCATGTGGGAATCTCCACCGAGTAATGACCGCAATGTAAAATAATGAATAGTGACCTCACTCCACCCTGGCTCTTAAAAGACGAAAAGAAAATGTTCCCAACTTGTTTCTTTCGTAATTTGTAACTGATACTGAAAACTCAATCACAGCGTTTATCGTAAGAGAATTGGCAGTATGTTTGTTACCGGTGTTCCTCCCCACTGGCCCCTTGGCGGTGTGTCTAGGGGGTTCCTTCAGCCTTTGGGTAGAGTGGTCGTGCATCTTTCACACGTCAATCAGCCCTGCTCCTGCTTGGCCGTCACCAATTTGCAGGAGGGGTCAGGGGCCTGGGGACACGGGAGGACGCAGGCATCACCTCTGCTTGTTGTGGGAAAGCTAGACTGACATTTAGTCCCAGAAATAAAGTTATCTTATTTAAAACATTCCTCTACAAAATACAATAAAAAATTCCTAATGGAGCCCAGAATAATGTTTAATTTCAGAGCTGAGGCCATCTAGACTTGCCCAATCATTCTAGACTTGAGTTGTACTCCTTTTCTAATATATTGTCTTGGAGCTGGGCGACAGATAATGGGAAAGTCCATCATGGATGTGATTAGAAAGAAATTGAAACATGTTAACGTGATAGTTGTTGAGAAAATACTTACACGTTTGATTCACTCCTTATTCGTGTTACTAGAGGCAACTTATTTCAGTAAGATATCAACGTTGGCCCGGTTTAACAATGATGTGCTGTAGAAGATCTCAAGGAAGGATTCCCCTTTACTCCCCCTCCTTCTTTTTAAAAATAAAATAATATAATGGAGGCCCCAATGAAAACATACTTGTTTAATGAAATACTCAAAGCCTCTCTCCAACACGCACGCACGCACGCACGCACTCACACATCACTCCTTTTAAAAAAACAACTGCTCTCTGATGTTCCCTCCAGTAGAGATCTATATGCTGTGTCACGTCGTGTGAGCAATGCAGGGGTAGTCCAGTGGTTGTTGTGTTCGCTTGTTACCCTCAAGACACTGCTAGTTCGTTTCCCCACATGGAAACAATGTCAAGTCTGCTCTCGGTGTTCCTCGCCGTCATATTCAAGCGAAAGCACTAACAACAGAGCTAGCACTAACAACAGATCTATCGCTAACAACGGAGCTAGCACTAACAGAGCTAGCGCTAACAACAAGGCCAGCGCTAACAACAGAGGTAGCACTAACAACAGAGCTAGCGCTAACAGAGCTATAGCTAACAACAGAGCTATCGCTAACCACAGAGCTATCGCTAACAAAGGAGCTAGCACTAACAAACTAAGCTAGCACTAACAACAGAGCTAGCGCTAACAGCAGAGCTAGCACTAACAACAGAGCTAGCGCTAACAACAGAGCTAGCACTAACAACAGAGCTAGCACTAACAATAGAGCTAGCACTAACAACAGAGCTAGCGCTAACAACAGAGCTATCGCTAACAACAGAGCTATCGCTAACAAAGGAGCTAGCACTAACAAACTAAGCTAGCACTAACAACAGAGCTAGCGCTAACAAACTAAGCTAGCACTAACAACAGAGCTAGCGCTAACAGCAGAGCTAGCACTAACAACAGAGCTAGCGCTAACAACAGAGCTAGCACTAACAATAGAGTTAGCACTAACAACAGAGCTAGCGCTAACAACAGAGCTAGCACTAACAATAGAGCTAGCACTAACAATAGAGCTAGCACTAACAACAGAGCTAGCACTAACAATAGAGCTAGCACTAACAACAGAGCTAGCGCTAACAACAGAGCTATCGCTAACAACAGAGCTATCGCTAACAAAGGAGCTAGCACTAACAAACTAAGCTAGCACTAACAACAGAGCTAGCGCTAACAAACTAAGCTAGCACTAACAACAGAGCTAGCGCTAACAGCAGAGCTAGCACTAACAACAGAGCTAGCGCTAACAACAGAGCTAGCACTAACAATAAAGTTAGCACTAACAACAGAGCTAGCGCTAACAACAGAGCTAGCACTAACAATAGAGCTAGCACTAACAAACTAAGCTAGCACTAACAACAGAGCTAGCACTAACAACAGAGCTAGCGCTAACAACAGAGCTAGCGCTAACAACAGAGCTAGCGCTAACAACAGAGCTAGCGCTAACAACAGAGCTAGCACTAACAGAGCTAGCGCTAACAACAGAGCTAGCGCTAACAACAGAGCTAGCGCTAACAACAGAGCTAGCACTAACAATAGAGCTAGCACTAACAACAGAGCTAGCGCTAACAACAGAGCTAGCGCTAACAACAGAGCTAGCACTAACAACAGAGCTAGCACTAACAACAGAGCTATCGCTAACAACAGAGCTATCGCTAACAAAGGAGCTAGCACTAACAAACTAAGCTAGCACTAACAACAGAGCTAGCGCTAACAACAGAGCTAGCGCTAACAACAGAGCTAGCACTAACAATAGAGCTAGCGCTAAAGACAGAGCTAGCACTAACAACAGAACTAGCACTAACAATAGAGCTAGCGCTAATAACACGGCTAGCGCTAACAACAGAGCTAGGTTATTTAAAGCTAATACAGAAACACGATTTCAACATCTCCTCAAACTGCTTGGCGCTGTCACTCGCCTCTTTCCGTCTGGCAAAACACACAGTCGTCACCATGCGCATGATCGGTGCACTACACAGCCCATATGTGTTATAAACATGTCACTACAAAGACAACAAAACAATCACGAAGCATGCAACACAACCCTTAAGTCCCTCTCGTCACGTGATGCACATTACGTGCACGACATTCACATGCATGACGGGTAATTTGCGCAGATTATGTGTTGATGGGTGGTAGTTGAGAATCTGTATGTTTTTTACCTTATTGTTGACACGATGCTGGTGCACGAATCAGTGGCGTTCCGTCACGAATGAGGCATGTTTCTCAAATGGTACGATCCTATCGTGAATCTTGGATAATAGAAACAGCTCAGGTAATCAAAGTATCTTTTATGAATCCGCACATTTTTTTCATCCTCGTTTATCATAAGCCAGTGCTCGGCTAACCACGCAGATAGCTGAGGTTCAATTCTCGTCTTCTTTTTTATTCTAAAAAAGTACATATTGAACTGCATGAAGAGAATGACATTCTCTCCTTTACCAATTCGTTTGCAAATTTAATGTTTTCGAGCAATACATGTTTCTGTCAATTGGTATTCGAGTCCGAAATGGAACAAGGTTTGTTTTTTTCGTCAGTTTTTCTTCTCAGTCCCAAAACAGATTAAAATTTGATCAAACGGTCAGAGGAAGGCGCCTTTACAATAATTAAATATTGTACCTTTGCAATAATCTTGAACGCGATGTTAAACCCCACTACACCTCACCTATATCCACGTTAGCTCGTCGCTATATTGCTGAAATGATGCCAATGTGACGTTTAATATTAACTCACTCACTAATCCATGTTACACTGCGGCATGGCCTCTCAGTGGACCAACACTAAAGCCTGCATTAGTCCGTACTTGTACAAACATACACACTCACGTCGTTATATATGTACAGTTATCTTGAACGCGACGTTAAATGAACCATACCGTAACTCTATTGAAATATAGAAGCGTATATATTTACCGCAATGTTCAGACCAGAACACCGACGAAAGTGGATTAAGACTTTAGAAGGAGCCCAGTCAGATGCGCACTAGATCTTACGGCGGGCTCAGGGACGTTCATTTGGAACATAACATCCGCCTTCTCCTTCCGTGCCAAACATCTCATATCATATGTCACTTAATCATCGGAAATAACGCTTTATAATTTGCAGTAGATAGAACATTAACATCAGAACTAATTTGATTGATCACAATATTGAACAAGAGTCTCCTACAAACATCCATAAAAGCTATTAGGACAATGACAGCCCACCCTCGGAGGCAACATGAGCAATTGGTAAATGCGGTTTAATGTCGTGGGAATATTAGTTGTGATGGCCACGATAGATAGTTTCAAACACGAGCCTAGTTTTACATGCTTGATTCTAAGTTTTCTCTCCCATATTGAACCCCATTACGTCAAGTGTAGTACGTCAAGTTAAAAGTAATTATTCCTCAGCATGACTGTCGGGATGAAAGCAGAACGGGCAATGATCACTGGCTGCGTTATATTGACATTTCAAAGTGTGTGTTGAAGATGTTTAAGTGTTTGAAAAGGTAATAAACCACATCATTATTGTGATGTATAAATATTAAATAACGCGCTATCGATGATATCGTAAGACTGTCATAATGTATAATGTGTATAATTTGTATCTGTACCCGGCCCCTAGCGGGTTTTTATGTTCTATACAATTTATCTTTATTTATCCATTTATCTATATTTTTTCAACACGATTATCATACATCGGTGAAGCTTAAAAAAAACAATGTTGCCACTTTCGGGTTCACAAAAGCATCGCGCATCGTACTGGCCTAGTATTTATTATCAGCTTTCAAAGCGAACTTTATTACCGGACCTTTATATAAGAGGGGCGGTCGGGTAGCCTAGTGGTTAAAGCGTTCGCTCGTCACGCCAAGACCCGGGTTCGATTCCCGACATGGGTACAATGTGTGAAGCCCATTTCTGGTGTCCCCCGCCGTGATATTGCTGGAATATTGCTAAAATCGGCGTAAAACCACACTCACTCACTCACTCACTCACTTTATATAAGAATGGGCGCTGTCCGTCCGTCCGTTTGTCACGTTTCATTTCCGGAACAGAACTAAAAAACCATGAGAGATACCTTAACCAAACTTTGCAAAAAGATAGGCCTAGTTGTGAACTGGTGGCTTTTGATAGTTTGGGATTTTTGCAAAAAATATTTTTCGAGTTTCCGTGGCAACGACTTTGACTTATACTGAAAATGGCGGTAGTCCTCCATTCCCGAGCAGATCTTGAAAACCGTAAATATTTCTACACCGCTAGTGGAACATAGTGAGGTCTAGTGGTAAACTGGTGCCTTTTGATAGTTTCAGATTTTTGGAAAAAACTGTTTTTCCGGTTTCCAGAGCAACTGGACATGATATATTGGCGGGGGACATGAGTATTTCATGCTTGTTTTGTATGAAAAATTGATGAGACGCAATAAATGCCATGTTGCGGACAGCTGCAACATTGATGATACGGTGTAAACAATATTATCTAAAACATCATATTCAAGAAATGTATTTTGTTGAATGGGTGTAACATCCTGGAGATCAGTACCTATGAAGTTGGTATCCTTAAAGTTGCCCTTGTTTGCCTGAACCAGGAACTGAACATATTAAAGGCCAACAAAAAAAAGTATTTAGGCCAACAATTTGAAATGAAAATATGAAAAGTCATTTGTTCAAAAACGAAAAGTTAAAAAACCCTATTCTAACACAATAATACATTGATATTGGACTAGTTGATCAGATATGGAATCTTTCAACTTTCTTTTTACATTTTATACCATTTAATGTTGTCGTTTTAGGTGTCAGTATAACAGGATATATGTCTGGTAGCCTCACTTCAGTTAATGCGTTATTTCTGTAATATGAAGAAATAAAACAACAACATTTCTTCAATACTATTAATGACAAGAATTATGCGTTGAAGGTGTCATTCAATATAGTATCATTACAATTTTGTTAATAATCGACCCTCAACGATATACACGTTCCGGGCATTTTGGTGGCACGTGACTCAGCCACACCCTGCGCGGACGTGATAGAAGACAACATTGTACTCCGCAGGCTCGCCTGATGCACGTTTTAACCGTGCTTGTTTGACAGGGGAATTATAACACTCTGGTTTAATGCGAACTTTGACGGATGGTGGGCTTATTGTTGGCTGGATGTGGACCTCGAGTGCCATTCAGTCTGTGAAATATTTAACATATGTTGTGCATACTTCACTATACAGTCTTATTTATTGTTATGAGAAGCGAGTGTTTCTCTTGATGAACTTGATGAATTAGTTTGTGGTGAGTTACACAGCGCGTACATCTTGTAATGGTATATCCTGAGATCATTTCCACTGAGCGTTACTGGCCACAAAGATGCCCCGAGGTGCGTGCGTGCGTGCGTGCGTGCGAGCAAGCGAGCATAGAGTTTGTCCCAGCAGCACGTCTTAATCGTCTGTGAAAAGAACATAAATCAGCAATTTTAAAGTATTTATTCAACAACTTTGCTTTTACAACTTTTTAAGGTTCACATAGTCTGTGATAACGCACGTGAAAGCAAAGTATTTGAGAAACATATCCGGCATGTAGTAGTACGAAGACCCCTTGATCGGGTGGTCAGGCTCGCTGACTTGGTTGATGCACGTCATCGTATCCCAATTGCGTGGATCGATGCTCATGATGTGAATCACTAGATTGTCTGGTCCAGGCTCGATTCTTTACAGACCGCCGCCAAAAAGCTGGAATATTGCTGACTACGACGTTAAACAACTGACAGTCGCCTTTTACGGCAAGCATGGGTTGCTGAAGACCTATTCTACCCCGGATCTTCACGGGTCAGTCAAATCATTGCTGTAGATGAATCACATAATTGCAACCAACACGAGTGTTTATGAAAGCCACAGTTCTCGTCACGGGATCTCGTGCAAATTGACTTTAACCGTGAAAGTTTGATGCACGTACAACACCATGTTATTTGGACACTTACCCCCAACGAAGACCGATATCTACGCGCAGTTCACAGATTCGTCACAGTGACGTACGTCATCGCCCGCAACTACCTTTGGACATCCTGTCAGACGAAGAACTCTATCGAGGTGACTACGGCAACATGGTACTGGTGCCTCCAGAACGTACCGCGGATAGCCTTGACGCCTCAACATCGGAGCCAAAGATTGAGGTGGGCACGGAGCGTCAGCCAATGGCAGATCAGACACTGGTAACGGGTACTCTTTTTCTGACGAATGTCGATTCCAGCTCTTCAGTCCTGATGGCAGAGTGCGTATTCACCGCGAGAGCGTACCGCGCGTTGTTACATCCAGGAGGTCGTGACATTCGGCGGTGGTAGTCATGGTTTGGGGCGTGTCTGTGAACAACTGAAGACGTGACGCCAATCTCAATGCACAACGCTACGTGGATGAAGTACTTCGCGCGTTTCATGGAAATAGTAGTAGTAGTAGTAGTAGTAGTTGTCCGTGCACAACGAAACGGGGATGAAGTACTGCCCGCAGGTGTGAGGTAGTAGAAGTAGTAGTAGTAGTAGTAGTAGTAGTAGTAGTAGTAGTAACTGGATATTTGTAATGCAGTATAATTCATCACATTCTGTCGGGTACCCAACCCATTCACTGCTGGATGAATAGAGACATATTTTCGAACAAAGCCATTTTTCTGAGGAGACACCAAATGTGCTACAGTTTGCTACATGTGCTTCAGTTTGCTACATGGGCTTCAGTGTGTACAGTACCCGTGAAGATCCGGGGTAGAATAGGTCTTCAGCAACCCATGCTTGCCGTAAAAGACGACAATGCTGGTCGTAAGTGGCGGCTAACGGGATCTGGTGGTCAGGATCGCTGACGTGGTTGATGCACGTCATCGTATCCCAATTGCGTGGATCGATGCTCATGATATCAATTGTCAGGTCCAGACTCGATTATTTACAGGCCGACGTCATAAAGCTGGAATATTGCTGAGTGTGGCGTTAAACAACAAACAATCGAACAGTGTGTACAGTGTATAATGAACGTCTTGCCATGGCCAGCCAGGTCCACTGACATGTCTCCAACTCAACACGGAATCATGTGGGACGTAAAGGGGGCACGGGTGGCCCAGTCGTCTAAGGCGCCGCGATTCGCTGTGCAGAGTTGCGTCCCTTGGGCACGCCGGAAACCAATGATTGTGGGTTCGAATCCCGGTTCGCCCCGATTATGTTTCTAGGTTTGTCAGCACCATATCAATGCTCGTGAGTTTTACCGAATCGGTAAACGTCTGAGACCTGCATCACTTCGGGTTTTCTTCCAACATTAAGCTGACAAGCCGCGATATAACTGAAATACTGTTAAAAGCGTCGTTAAACCCAACTCACTCACTCTGGGACGTAAAATTAGAGTAAGACATGTTCCTGGAGTACCCCTGCACCATGACTGTGGAATTTATTCATTTTATGAAAACAAAACCAAGAGTTATATAAAAGCAAGTCTAGCCAGCTCTGTTTCACTATGAAATCACAACCAGGAACATTATTTGTATTTGTTTTAGAGGAGGGAAATGTATTGTGTAATATAAGATTTCATAGACTATTTGTTAGTCTGAGTTTCTTGTGGTGACCAGCTGAAAGTTTATTGCAAGCACTGGAATTGGAATAGCGCCATATTCCACCTCAAGTCATTCGACGTCTGACGTACTCCCTCGTCGTCGAGGGGGAGCCTGTATTGGTGCCCAAGGCGGTTTTGTCTCTTCTTTCGTTGATCGTCATAAACTTCGTAGTGTTGACAAATTGCGATTTTAATACTACTTTTTATTTCCTGCTACTTACTTACTTACGTTTATCGCTATCAAAATGGATATTTCTTGAAAAGCACACTTTGAATGTTTTGTCATTAATGTAAGTAATATTCCTTATCGCCGGAATTTTATTTTATTTTTTTATTTTATAAGTATCAACACACATGCAGCTATCTTAGGTAATTAATAATCGCGATATTTCGTGATTTTATTTCAAGTGGCGAGGAGCATAGATGCTACCGAGAGTCCCCGCAAGTACGCCCAGCGTTGACAGAATTAAAGCAAGACAAATTGGGAACATTTCTTCAAC